ATGTATCCAAATGGAAATCAAGAAAATAATGAGTTTATTTTGATATTTAAGAATACCACATTGTTTTCTTTCACTATTGAATTTCCTAATTTTTGGCATTAATCAGGTTTCATATCATTCCTTTTAAATGTCTTAAATATTTCAATGGAAGAAATCACATTCTCATTACAATCATTGTTTCAATTTATGCCATAACATGTTCAGCAACGGTTTATAAACCGTTAATTATTATTTTTTTTTTTTTCAGTAAAACCGTTTTATCACATTGCAGTAATTTTTTTCTTGCAATTATAAAAAATACATAAAGAATATAATTATAACACACATATAAAATGATTTAATACGAGAAGAGGCATCCATTGCTAGTAAATATTCTGTTTGAATATTCGGATAAAAAGAATCTACTACATGTTGCTACTTACTAGACAAATATTCCTTGGATTCAAACATTACAGATCTCTGAAGACAAGTAACTCGGTGCTTCTTTTCCTTATATATGTAAGTCATGAGCGTATAAAAGTTGCCGTTATATAAATCCCACTTCAGATATTTTATGTAACATCGAATACTATTGAAGTATGCATTAATACAGATGAATATTAAACTAAATCTCTTCACAGAAAAGAAGATGCATATTTTATGCATATCGGGTAAATCATTTAAGATTTACTTTAGGAGTTAAAATATTATTTAAACAATATATCCAAAAAATTTTTAGACAAAAATTGAATGATTAATTAGGTATTAATTCATATAATTATTATTTTCTAATATAAATTCATAGAAAGTTTTTAGAGTTTAAATTTATTCCTTTAAATGAAATTTGAATATTACTGCACTGATGTTAACTAATAGGAAATATTCTTTTAGAAATTGATTATAGAAATGTTACTTATCACATTGAGCACATCTAGTAGTAATTGTCGTATAATAGTGAAATAAATATTTTGTTTATTCTGATCATAATAAATATTGGAATATCTTCCCTCACTGGTTGGAGAAAGGTTAGAAAAAAATTCACTGTTGTCTGTTTAATGGTAAGAAAGAAAAAATAATTACTGAATGCTCTTTTGACTGTACTGTGGTACAAACATAAAAAATATTCAAAATTGAGATGTCTAAAAGTGCCTCAAATTCTAAAAGAGAACTCTACACGACGTGACTTTATTTAAAATAATGAAAGAAAAAGAATAGATTGCATAATTATTAAATTTCATACAATTTTTAATTATAATGACAA